CTACTCTTGTGAGAAAAAAGTTTTTGTTTATTTCATTCCACTTATGAGTTGTCCATTTATTAATTGTCTTTTGTTTGGAGCGCTTCTGTCAGCAGCAGCGGGCAGCATGAGGAGGAGGAGGAGGGAGCAGGTGTTTTTATTCTGGTTAGTCTATATTGATCTCTGGCTCCCTCTTTAGTAATTTGTGTGTCTTCATTTTTAATCGCAGTGCTTAAAGCATCAGACAAGCTCAGTAGCCTACATATAGTTATTCAAACATAGGGTGTGTCTATATATGGAAAAATATATGTTTTAAACAAATCGATTGTTCGAAAGAACAGATGACTCTCGGTCAACAATTTTGTTGTTGTTGTAGGGGACTGCCCTAGCATGTAGAGTGCGTGTGCTAGCTTTTGTGTGCGTATGCGTGTGTCTGTATCTGTGTGTGTGTCTCTTCACAATACTCACTGTTCCATAAGATGTATTTTTATCTGTTTTTAAAATCTGCTACTTGCATCAGTTACCTGATGTGGAATAGAGTTCCATGTAGTCATAGCTCTATGTAATACTGTGTGCCTCCCATAGTCTGTTCTGGACTTGGGGATTGTGAAGAGACCACTGGTGGTATGTCTTGTGGAGTATGCATGGGTGTCCGGTGCATTCAGCTTGTCAACACTTCTTACAAAAACATACGTTTTTCCAGCAGCAGACTATGATCAATAATGTCAAGAGCCGCACTGAAGTCTAACAAAACAGCCCCCACAATCTTTTTATCATCAATTTCTCTCAGCCAATCATTAGTAATTTGTGTAAGTGCTGTGCTTGTTGAATGTCCTTCCCTATAAGCGTGCCGAAAGTCTCTTGTAAATTAGTTTACTGTAAAATAGCATTGTACCTGGTCAAACACCATTTTTCAAAAGTTTACTAAGGGTTGGTAACAGGCTGATTGGTCGGCTGTTTGAGCCAGTAAAAGGTGCTTTACTATTCTTGGGTAGCCTAATAACTTTTGCTTCCCTCCAGGCCTGAGGGAACACAGTTTCTAGTAGGCTTAGATTGAAGATATGGCGAATAGGAGTGGCAATATCGTCCATATTCTCATTAACCGTGAGTCCAAATAACACCAACTTCGGTATGTAGACCCATGGTACATCTCTTAACTTAAAAAAAAAAAAAAAGCCAATAAACAGTTACATGACCTAGAGCATGGTCAATCAAGTTATTGTTTCCAACATTTTAGAACTACTAAACAACTATTGATTTAGAACACTGGAGAGTTACCGCAAGTCGCAAAGAAAACAGGAGTTGCCTTCACTATTCCAGCACCATTTCAACTTCAACATTTCAACATCATCAAATCACCTATGCTTAGTCTAATACAGTGACAACTAAAAGATTCCAAAAACAATTTAGTCCAATCAACGTAAGCTTGTGGCTGTCCATGGTACTGATTTATGTGTGTGTGTGTGTGTGTGTGTGTGTGTGTGTGTGTGTGTGTGTGTGTGTGTGTGTGTGTGTGTGTGTGTGTGTGTGTGTGTGTTTGTGTGTGTGTGTGTGTGCGTGCGTGCATGCGTGCATGCATGCGTAAGTAGAAAAAACATGTTGACTCACCCTACTTGTAGAGAAAAGCCAATCCCATCCCCCTCTCTTTCATGTTGCCGAAACGGTCTATGACTCTGTCATACAGTAGACACTTCGTTTTTGTTGTCCTAGGCTACCTGGCTAAAATGCTTGCTCGCAAGCCTAACTTCATTTCATGGGCAACAATTAGCCAGCTAGTTAACATTAGCCTACTACATCTAGCTACATATTGAACTTCCATCCTCTCAGGCCTTTATAATCATTGGCCAGTACGAAGAATTAAGTAAATCCAAATCCTATTTCCACCTATGGCTACTTTAGGAAAGGGACAATTTTAGCTAGCTAGCTAGCCACCAGAGGACAACAACACAATATGCAACAATTCAAGTTTTTTTTCTGTCAATGACGTTTTTTGATGTGATGTGATTGGCAAAGCTCATTGTTCTATCTGTGTGATTGGTGTGAAGCCAAATCCAAACTGGCTTCCCGTGACACTTTTTTTTGGTTCGCCAGGACCATTCACAGTTGAGCTCACTTAGTTTAGCTCAACGCTGATTGCTATTATTGTACAATTTTTTTATCAAGTGAGACCAAATGCTTGTTGGCTTCTCTTGCATTCAATGCTACGTGCGGCAACAATGTCATGCTCTGTTTGACCAGACTACATCAGATAGATGGGCTACACATACAGAGATAGAGGGGCGCTGTTTTGCTCGCTCTAATGCTTTCTCCTATGAGATACATTCAGCCTCTTGCGAATTGAAGGAAAATTATGAAACACAGAGAGACGAAATATACATTTTTTTTTTTTATTGGTCCATTTTTTGGAGAAGCCTGGCTTCCCTTGGTCTCCATGAATACAGGACACTGAATGGATTGGTTAAGAGATGGCTGAGTTATTGCTAAATCAGGAAATCTGATTTTACATGTCCATTTAAATCCTTTGTAAATCCACTTCACAATGTCCTATCAACTTGAAACTTGCAACCACTATCATGGACGTCCATAAGATGAACCACACTGAATTTGGTATTGATATCTCAAAAAACCAGTAAACTATTAACAACTCATTATTTGCATATGTAACGCTTATGCTAATGCTGAAAATCATCTGCAATCATCTTCTCCTCATGAACCATAGGTCAGATTCACTCCAGATTTTGTATTTTAGACTCATGATTGCACATAAAGGAATACATGATCGAGTGCTTGCTTTGTTATCCAACTGTTCTTTTCTGTCATCCTGTGAAATCCAGCATGGCTGCTTGCAACTATATTTACATTGTCGCCATTAAGCAGACACTCTCATAAAGAGTGATTTAGGCCTACAGTTAGTGCATTCATCCTAACGTAGCTAGCTAGGTGAGACAACCACATATCACAGTCATAGTATGCAATTTTTTTCTAAATAAAGCAGCTATCAGCAAAGTCAATGCTAAGAAAAGACAAGTGCAAGTGTTAGTGCAGTAATTGCTGTTTCTCTTCTGGTGACAATTGTGAGCTCACACCCGCGTCGCTGCGTTTCACTCACCTGTCAAATACAGTCAAATACATCCGTTATGGAGAGGAATAAACAAATTAGTTCACCTACACATGCAAGACAAGAGAAAAGTGGTTGACACTTGTCACGGTGGAGTGATAGCTTACCTTGTGAAGCAGAATTCACAGTTAGAGCCTCTCTCGCTGGCAGTCAGGACGTAAGTATATGGAAGACTAGCGAAGAGAAGCTCCCCAACTTTGAAGGGTTTGGTGACCCGGAGTCCTCGCCCTTTGCCCGGACTGACGAACCTCTCAATTCCCTCAATGCTCTCCTTCATTCTGTCGCCTATAGGTCCGCCGAGTGCCCTTCCTTCCGAATTCCACTATTCACCTAGAATCAGCTACAATGAACCCACGCTCAGCGCGGCAATTGACTATGGCTAGGTGTCGTTAAAATTACACTGGTATGATTTAATGCCCCTTCCCTATAAAAGCGAACGCGTCACCGTCCCCAATAACGGTTCATACATGGTAACATCAGCGCCGCATCCCTCAAGGATTCCGGGGGGTCATAAAGTCCGCTCTTAAATAAGTTTATCTCTGAGCACCCGACAGAGGTCTGCGTGTGGAATAGGCTCCCCGTGGCGCGGTGCAACTCATTGTCGTTATGAATATGATGACATATTTCCATCATATGCAATACACATTTTAAGTTCCAACTGAGAAGTGGGTAAAACGTGTTGTGTATTTAACACAAGTGCTAATATGATTTGATTCTAATCTGGACAGAAAAAAGCTAATAGTCTTCATTGATAATGAATAATAATGATAGGCTAATACAAATAAACTGTTTTTCATTCAGTTTTTTTTCTTCAGAGTTATCATACATATCCTGATGATTCTACATTTCTAAACCACCTTACATCAAAAGCATCAAAGTCACAAATCAACAATTAACTATTTAATGAGCTGAGATATTAGCAGGATTTAAATGACCATCATGGTCATCATGTGGCAGGTGGTTCGTAGGGGAGAGCAGGGATGGGTGTAACACTTTTCACCTTTTCGTCAGTTTCTCAGAGATCGTTTATGGTAATGTTTTCTAAACTTGATACAAACAACCTACATCTGTCCTTTACAACTTGTGGTTATTATATATGTAAATCAAACTGCAAATGCATGGTGTTGTCTTAAATACAAGGAGTGAAGTGTTTCAATTTACCCCATGGTCTGGGTTAGTTGTAACAGAATGAAAAAGTGCATAAATCATGACATGCAACTAATTATTGAATGCCTTTATTGAGACAATGAGAGCAACATTGCCATGTTTAACATTTTGTTTGGCAGAAATAATAATAAATATAAATAATACAATGTTTATTATTATACCCACCACTAAATGGTATTTCTCAACCAAACAACATCTAAGCTAAACTAAACATCTGAACGTTTGTGGTGTGTGTGTGTGTGTGAGTTTGTGTGTGTGTGTGTGTGTGTGTGTGTGTGTGTGTGTGTGTGTGTGTGTGTGTGTGTGTGTGTGTGTGTGTGTGTGTGTGTGTGTGTGTGTGTGTGTGTGTGTGTACGTGCGTGTCTGTGTGTGTGGGTGTGTTTGTCTGTGTGTGTGTGTGACTGAATGTATAGCTTTCCTGGGGTACAGGCTTGGTGGGCCCATCATTTGCATTTCCAGCACTGCACCCAGACCTCCTTGGACTTGGAATTGTTAAAGTGCTCCATGCACACAATGCAGAAGTTTTCCTCGTTGGAGGAATCTGAATCTTCTGGTTCAACATGCTTTGTTTTGGCTTTTTTCTTAGGCAGGACAGTTTTTTTGTTGTTGTTCAGTGTGGTTTGTCTTGGCTTGCTTCTTTCCAGCTGTTTTTTTAGGCAGGGCAATTTTACTTTCTGCCTTCTGAGTGCTAGATTTTGATGCTCTTCTTCCAGTGCCTGATTGACGGGGGTATCTGTCAATATCGCAGTTGTGTAATTTTCCTGGGCCCTGCTTTTGGGAAGGGGCGTATATCAACTGGGTTGAAACCAGAAGAGTAATCACGTGTTTCCCAGCCACAGCCTGATACATGTGGGTAGGTGCCCTGTGATGTGGCTGGAGAGTGGGGCTGGAAGGCAGCTGGAGAGGTGGGCAGGAAGGCAGCTGGAGAATTGGGCTGGGAGGCAGCTGGAGAGGTGACCTGGAAGGCAGCTGCTGGAGAGGTGACCTGGAAGGCAGCTGGAGAGTTGGGCTGGAAGGAAGCTGGAGAGGTGACCTGGAAGGCAGCTGGAGAGGTGACCTGGAAGGCAGCTGGAGAGGTGGCCTGGAAGGCAGCTGGAGAGGTGACCTGGAAGGCAGCTGGAGAGGTGATCTGGAAGGCAGCTGGAGAGGTGATCTGGAAGGCAGCTGGAGAGGTGGCCTGGAAGGCAGCTGGAGAGGTGGCCTGCGTGGGAAAACAACAGTTGGGGGGATTGAGTTTCCTATTGCATTTATAGCACATGCCATTGACAGTAGTGTAAACCTTTCTGCTGAGGTGATTGCTCCAACCTGTTTGGTGCCATGTTTCACAACCACTCTATCTGGTGTTTGTGTTGTGGTTATTCCTGTCTCGTCAACATTCCATATGTCATTGCCATCAAAGCTTTATTTATTTATCACCTCTCCTAGTTTGCTGAAAAACTCTGCCACATTTGTTCTTTTGAAACTTGTGGCCCACGACAGACTAGTGCTTCAGCACTCCTAATGGAGAGGAGTAGGGTGCCGCTTTAGGTAAGACGAGAACCAGTCTGCTCCCACCATAGAGGTCTCATCCCATGACTGAGGATGCTTGTAACCATATTGTACAGCGAGTTGGTAGGCAAATTTCCTGACCTGTAATAATATAATAAAATATGTTCAATACTTCCCCCAATTAATACTTTACATTAATCCTTTACATTAGTAGTCCCTCACTAATTCCTATCAAGTGCTTACCTCACGGGGAGACAATCCATAATATAAATCAGCTGCCCTCAAGAGATACTCTGACAACTTCTGCTCCTGCTCATCCATGAAGACCCTGTTTCCACTACGTTAGCCAACATGGGGAAGCTCTCTCGACCCCTTCTCCAGTAGCTTCTTTCTCTCTTTGCAGAATCTGTACAGCGTCACATGACATATGCCATTCAACTTAGCAACCGATCTGATTGACTTCCCCAGGTGTGCTACATCATCTACTCCCCTGTCTGTCTTTCTTTTACATGATCTAGGTATGCTGAAAGTAAAAGAAAGCATGTACCAAAAACATTGAGTTTTACTCTGGGTTAATTGTAACATTTTCTCACAAGCTGTTACATCTAACCCAGACCCTTGCAGCCATTAGCTAGCTTCCATTTTAGCTAAATGTTAATACTGTTAATGCATCAAATATCTCTACAAAGACTGGTTATAAACCTGATATAAGTTTGGTGAATGGAACTACAAAGCAGTTGATGCCATCACAGAAACAAAGAAATCAGAAATGTTGGGTTCTATTTTTCTCATAATTGGATCTGTATGTGATGAATAGCTTGGAAGGAATGCATTAATGAGGACACTGTACTGATATGGATTGTTTCACATAACAGCCTGTGATTCATGTGGGGAACGTTAGGGGCTAGGATGAGATAAGACTTGTATTTCTCACAGATACGAACACTCTCTCTTTGTTGTCTGTGAAACCGTCCTTGAACGTGGGTACATGGAGTACAGTGGAATGGTGTCTTTTGGGTGCTGACTCCACAGGTTATTGTGATAGCAACTTATGCCTGGCAACAGTGTGCAATAAATGGAGAAGAGGAGTTGGGACCAACCCCTGCGCCAACGGATTGGCTGAACCACACTCAGTCCTTTACTCTGATTGGCCAACAGAAGAGGTGGGAACTATCTGTCAGAGTATTTGGGGGGGAACCTGTGAGCGGTGTTTTAGTTCTCTGAGTGCCCTGCGTGGTATTTCAGTGGACCCGTATATACGAACCTTCATACTTATCATACATACATTTTGCATATAATAAATTAAGCTTGGATTGAAGATCTCTTGATTCTTATTCCAATACCAGATTTGAATTACGCAATTTCTAACAGAAATCAGATTTCTGTTAATAGAATCTGCAGAGTTTATCACAGGGACTTGCTTTTTCACATGAGAGTTCAGGACTAAACTGAGCATGTGCTCAGTCAATCACATTATTTTACCTCGCTCCTGATTGGAGGAATTGCAAGTGTTACAACTATCCAGTGTTACACCCATCCCCGGTCTCCCCTACTCCTCCAGAGTATCATCAGTGGTATGCAGGATATGTTGCACATGGGTCAGAAGAAATAGTATATTTATTGTGGTGTTGAAAAAGTAAACCATGACATTGAAGTTCCCTAAGTCGGTAAGCTTTGTTTATTGGTTGTGTGGTTCATTGGCACAGAAACCTGTTGGTAGAAAATGAGTTGCATGTATTTTAAATAATGATAAATATGGCATCAAAATGTTGAAAATCAGATTTCCCTCTAGCTGATCATTGTCTGCAGTCGGCTCTGATTGTAGTGTAATGAAACAGGCAGGGGGAGTGAGCTCGTCCATGGTGGTCAGCGAACCCCCAACCTGCGTGGCATCAACTGTGCAACAAAAGCATGCTGAAGTGGTAAAGTCGATATCCACGTTTAAAAACACAGAGTCGCTACCGTTATTTATATTTTCTGACTGAAAGGCAGCGTTGTTGGTATTTAATATTTATAAAATGTACACAGTGAGAGCAAGAGAAAGAGAGAGAGAAAGAGAGAGAATAAATAGGAAAAGAAAGTTAGAGTAAGTAAAGTTTGTATCTTCTCGCTGATTGCAGAGCCAAAGATGGGAAGGTGACTGATTGTTCCATACAAAAAGTCAAGGGGTCTGAATACTTTCTGAATGCACTGTAATACCAAAATTTGAATGGGCCAATGACTTTTTCACCCAGGGTGTTGCATAACTTTGTTTATTAAATAAAAGAAATAAGTATGTAATTGTTGTGTTATTTCACTCAGGTTCCTTATATCTAATATTAGGTTTTGGTTGAAGATCTGATAACATTCAGTGTCAAAAATATCAGAAAGGGGGCAAATATATACCCCACACACCCAACCCCAATGAGAGGCTTGATTATGAGCTGAATAGTTGAATAAAGTGTGTGAGAGCTAGGGCAAGATAAAAAATAATGTGCTCCCCCTTGGGCCCCCAGGACCAAGAAACACAGCTCGAAGGTACAGTATATGGACAGGTATGGTAGCAGATTTCCAGCAGGACCAAGCCAGCCACACAGAATGGAGGCAAATCAGATATTTAAAATAACTAATAATAACAACAAAAACAGTCAGGCAAGCAATTTACAAGTCGAAAGGAGGGCCTCTGTAGAAGGTCCATGAAGGGCCCCCAGGTGGAATAAAATACATATTGTTCCCCTTTTAAAGTATAACATATTTTTTCTAGTTTCAAAAAGTTCCAATTGAAAAGCAGGTAAAACATAGTGTTTATTGAACACAAGTGTTAATGTGATTTGATTCTAATCATAATAGAAAAAAACAAATAGTCTTCATTGATAATAATAATAATGATAGAAACTGGTTTTCTTTCAGAACTTTTCAGAATTATCATACATATCCTGATGATTCTACAGTTCCAAACCACCTTACATCAAAAGCATCAAAGACACAAAACAACAATTAGCCTATCTATTTCCTGAGCTGAGATATTAGCAGGATTGAAATGACCATCATGGTCATCATGTGGCAGGTGGTTTACACTCCTTCAGAGCATCATCAGCAGTATGCAGGATGTAGCACAGCGGTCAGAAGGAGGATGTCAGTGTTGCAGTCGACAGATATCTCTCTGGACTAGTTCTTCACAGGAAAGACAAAAGACAGGGGAAGGTCCAACATCTCTGCTGCCCGCTGCATCTGTTTATGATGGGTACAGGAAATCTCACACAACAATCCACAAGGAAAGTAAACAAGTGTAGCCTATTTGTAATTAAACCCTTTGCATGTTCAACAAACTTGAATCCTATTCTATTTAATTACCTTTTTTGATTGAAGTTCTGTTGTCACTCATGGAGTAACATCCACAACACAAGGCAATCCCTTGAGGTAAACCTCTGTCTGAATACCTTCTCTAGCAGGGTGTGGCTGGTGTAGATGTTTCTTAAATCCTTATTGATGGCAATGCACACTTGATCCACATGGGTCAGTAGAACCACCTGGGGAATGTTGTCTGGAGGGGTAACAAGGAGTGAAGGGAGGAGGAGGTAAACGCAGTGCACAATGTTGTACGAGTTTGCATATCTGAGCTACAGAAAAAAAGCAATACAAATCCTTGTGGGGAAAAAGATCACCAAGGTCTGGAATCTCATCTTGAAGTTTCCGTAATGTATTTTGTTCATAATCACTGTCGGTTGATCACAGTCATGTTTCTTAACTTTGTATTGTATGACATTTCAGATGTATATATTATAATTTTTCATAAGGTAGTTTGGATGTGGTAACATTAAGTGAACAAACTATATTTCTCTCATGGGTAGATTTACTGTAGCCCCACTTCTTCCAGTGTGAAGTAATAGGTAGCTTGGCAAACTATATTTTCAGAGTGGCTTCCCCAACATTGATTATAGGTTAAGATATGAGTGTGGGCCTGAGAATATTTTCTTTCAATTTATTAAGTTGCTGTCTCCGTTATTAATTAAATCTGTTGGTTCTCACTGATCAAATAATTATCTACATTGGAGAAAACTGGTGGTAAATGTACCACATATGCAAAGTTTTCTCTTGGATGTCTGCTACATCAAAGAGTGCATTCTCTGGATGTTTGCTCCAACAAAAAGAGAAAAAATGACAAGACAGAAACAGCAGGCGTTAACTGTTTCTATATGTTCTCATAGGGCCAACTAGGGCCATCTACTGGTGATTATGAAGAATGCACTGAAGTAAAACCACAGCATTATTTCAGCAGAGCAACAGCCACAGAGATACTACTGAATTCTATATGTAATTATATGGCAACAGCTCTGTGGATAGCTTGGTTCACAACAATTAGCGGTGATGATGTTGCCCTATTTGTGTGACCTCTTGACCTTGAGAGAGAGAGTGAGTTAGAGCTTCTCTTTCCTTACCCACATATCCTCCTCTTCTTGTCAATTAGTCTGGATTAACATAACCCCTCTGACATCATTTATGATGAACTCACTGCCCTCTTGTGGTTGTTCATTGTAAGTGATAACCGGGTGGACAGACACCTCATCACTGACTGTCTCTACTATGTCATAAGAAGAAGTTGACTCCATGCCTCAATCATTTGTTGTTGCTTACAGCTTACATTTGCCACAGAATATAGTCAGCTATATGACATGACACAATATAGAATGATAGTCTTACTTGTCCCCAAGGTGAAAGTTGTCTTGGACACACAATATTATTTTGCGTTATAACGATTGTCATAAACATCACAGTTGCATAATGCATCATGACAGCGCTATATAATCAGGTGTATCATCAGTTGCTATGACTACTATAAATGGTGTCTGTTATTATCTCACAACGAACCAAATTTAAGCAGTTGTCTGCAGATTATTTTGCCACAGGAGTCAGAGGAATTTGAGATTATGCATAGAGTCTTTGCACTGAGATTGGGAAAAAATAATGGTTTCTGCACAGCACTTGCTCTGTAGACAATATGATATTTCATTATTTGTACGTGTGCAAACACGCACGCACACGCACACACAAACACACACACACATACATACACACTACATTAAAGTGAAGATTTGTCTCACATCTGTATCAGAGGGCTTTAGCCAACCTTGCCCCAGTTTTTCCCTGATTTACTGTAATTCCATTTTTTCAATCTTTCAATCTAAAGACTTGTTTCTCCCCATTTTTAATAATATCTAGGCAAGGCAGGCATGTCCCTTAGTGATTATGTTGTGGTCTCTGCCATCTCGTCTTGATTATATCAGAGGAATCTGATTTGTTTCAGAAGAAAAACATTGTATCTCTTTAGACCTCTCTCCAACAGTGATTTCTTGATCTGTCAGTGAGGATGCTCTTGATGAATATGATTTGAAAAAGAGGGAGGGAGAGATGGATTAGATGAACCGGATTATAATTTGGAATGAAGGGAAATGATAAGGAACGATAAATCGTAAGTAGATTTAGTTCTCAAGGAAACCCTGTTAGGATGAATTGAAAGAATGCAAAAAAGAAACATTTTAAATACACCCGCACGCAGGCATGCATGTGTGTGCGACTGTCTGTCCACAAATGCATACAAGACTGTGTGAGCATGTCTACATGACCTGTGTGTGCATTTGCACTTGACCATTTGTCTATGTGAAGACGTATGTATGCGTGCATGTCAAGAATCAACAACAGAAGATTGGCCTATTCCCACAGGCCCAGCCCAAGTATGTACTGTGATGAACCCAGTGACTTCACTGAGACAATGTCTACAATCCACCACCATTCAGCCATCCCCGTCAGGGAGCCATGCCTTAAGCCTAGCCCCCCTGTCTCCCCTGGTCTTAGCCCAGCCGGCTTTACAGGCGTGGAGTGTCATCTGGGCCTGTTTATCTATGTGTCTTTGCTTTGGCCTGGGCTCTGTGCTGGGGACCATGTGGGCCGGAGAGGGGCCACTGCCCTGTGTCACTCCCGTAAGCTCTGCTTTCACTGTGAGGCTTAACGCCTCAGACCTCAGCCTCTTTATCAGCCGACAGCTGGAGCCCTCGGTAACCCACCACCCTACCGCCGTCGCCGACTCCCGTCTCGCCTCTATCTCCTGTCTTCCATCCACTACCCCTCCATTCCCAGCCAGGTCACCCGAGGTACGAGTCAGTATTTGACATCCATCCATGTGTGAGGACATCAGGGAGATGACATGGAAACTGGCCACTAGGGGCAACAGTGAGCACTGTTACTTTGAAGTAGGTTTCGTTTTTTTGCTAGGGTGTTGTGGATGGAGATGGCGAATGGGCGTAATCATCTGGTGCCAAAGGTTGCATGTTCCAATTCAGCGATAGAAAGTTGTTTTTGAGATAAAACATTTAGAGTGAATTCCTAAACTTAACTTTAAACACTTTGAAATTTGACGTTTGGAACAACTTTGAAATTTGACTTTTGAGAAACATGGATGAACGTCTAATTCTGACGTGAGACTGTGAGAGCATGTTGCCATTCCCTCCTGTCTTCCTGTCTCCCTTCATCTTCTCCTTCCTCCCCTTGACACACTCTGTCTTCCCCTTTCCCCCTTGCCTCCCTGTCTCCATCTGTCTCTCTCTGTCTCCCCCTTTCTCCCCTCCTGCCTACTCGTCTCCCCTTTGTTTACCCTGTCTTCTACTGTCTTTCCCTGTCTGCCCACACCTCAGTCCCTCCTCCCTCTCTTTCCTTCCTCCAGTCGAGCCGTCCAGCTAAACTTAGAAGTGACAACAGTTGCAGGGTGACACCAGGGCTAAATCAGAGGAGAACAATAGCCTCCATCTCCCCCCTCTCCCCCACTCCCCCCTTTAATAGACTGATATTGTTCTCTCCCGCTGTTACTCTTTCTGGGTTTGTTAGCTATGCTAATGACCGCTGGCCAGTGTGGATTTAGCACACAGGATTTGATGCTCTTTAACTGGGCACTTTTAGAAAGGAGAAGAGTGTGTCAGGGAAAGTCAAAATGTCAGAGTTTGTAAATTGTATGATGACAATCGTTACATTACAGCGTTGTTATCCGGCCTGTTATTACTGTGGAGGTTAGGTTTAAGGCTAGGGTAAGGGTTACTGCTTTTACTGTGGTTACCGCAGTGTAATCTACCATCTCTTACAGTCTCACGTCAAAATTAGACGTTCATCCATGTTTCTCAAATGTCAAATTTCGATGTTGTTCCAAACGTCAAATTTCAAAGTGTTTAAGGTTAAGTTTAGGTATTAAATCCAAATTCTTGATGAATATGATTTGAGGTAAGGGTTAAGGTTTGGGATAGGCTTAAAACAAAAATATAAAAAACAACTTTCTAAGGCTGGTTTCAAACGTGCAACCTGTGGAGTAAGCGGCAGGTGCTTGCACCCATTCGCCATCCCTGCCCACAACATCCTAACAAACCCAAACTTACTTGAAGGTAACAGTGCTCACTGTTGCCCCTAGTGGCCGGTTTCCACATAATCTCCCGATGTCCTCAGACATGGATGGACGTCGAATACTGACTTGTATCATGGGTGACCTTGCTGGTGTAATACCAACAGTGTAATACCAATTCTTGTTAGAATGTACTTAAATAAATAACTACATAGTAATAAGAACACTGTAATGTGTTACTACTAGTCCAAGACAGCAGAAGCAGGGTCAATAATAAATACGAGCTATGTAGATCTTAAAGACTAAAATATATATTACTACCAGGAGGTATACAGTAGTGTTAACATACATACAGTGAATCTGTAAATAGAGTGGCCACTAGCTACCTCCTCTGAGCCCTCCTCTCCTCTCCTCTCCTCTCCTCTCCTCTCCTCTCCTCTCCTCTCCTCTCCTCTCCTCTCCTCTCCTCTCCTCTCCTCTCCTCTCCTCTCCTCTCCTCTCCTCTCCTCTCCTCTCCTCTCCTCTCATCTCCTTTCTTCTCCTCTCATCTTAGAGGAATTTTCTTTCTCCATGACTTATTAATAGCTCCTGTGCATTGTTTCCTACCCTAACATTGTTTCCTACCCTAACACTGCAGCAATCAAAGGAAGTTGGCCTGCCAAGTATACACAAATACTTTCCTTTGTCCCTATGTTTAGCTGGCATGTGAAAGCGAGGTGTGTGTGTGGTGTGTGTGTGTGCGTGCACGTGCGTGATTGTGTTTTATGAGCCAGTGAGTGAACTTAACCTCCAAATGACCTACCTCGTTATCACGTCCTGAGAGATGAAAGGTCATGGACCGGGGTCATTGCCCTCAGTGCTGTAGTATGATCAGCCCTGATATGATCAGTCCATCCTATCATCTCTTCCCTCTGCTAAATCCTTCTCCCTCCGATCTCCTGATTCTGCCTCCTCAACCCTCCTCTCCTCCCTTTCTGCATCTTTTGACTCTCTATGTCCCTTATCCTCCCGGCCGGCTCGGTCCTCCCCTCCTGCTCTGTGGCTTGACGACTCATTGCGAGCTCACAGAAGAGGGCTCCGGGCAGGCGAGCGGAAATGGAGGAAAACTAGACTCCCTGCGGACCTGTCATCTTTTCACTCCCTCCTCTCTACATTCTCTTCCTCTGTTTCCGCTGCTAAAGCCACTTTCTACCACTCTAAATTTCAAGCCTCTGCCTCTAACCCTAGGAAGCTCTTTGCCACCTTCTCCTCCCTGCTGAATCCTCCTCCTCCTCCCCCTCCCTCCTCCCTCTCTGTGGATGACTTCGTCAACCATTTTGAAAAGAAGGTTGACGACATCCGATCCTCATTTATTAAGTCAAATGACACCGCTGGTTCTGCTCACACTGCCCTACCCTATGCTTTGACTTCTTTCTCCCCTCTCTCTCCAGATGAAATCTTGCGACTTGTGACGGCCGGCCGCCCAACAACCTGCCCGCTTGACCCTATTCCCTCCTCTCTTCTCCAGACCATTTCCAGAGACCTTCTCCCTTACCTCACCTTGCTCATCAACTCATCCTTGACCGCTGGCCATGTCCCTTCCGTCTTCAAGAGAGCGAGAATTGCACCCCTCCTCAAAAAACCTACACTCGATCCCTCCAATGTCAACAACTACAGACCAGTATCCCTTCTTTCTTTTCTCTCCAAAACTCTTGAGCGTGCCGTCTCTAGCCAACTCTCCTGCTATCTCTCTCAGAATGACCTTCTTGATCCAAACCAGTCAGGTTTCAAGACTGGTCATTCAACTGAGACTGCTCTTCTCTGTGTCACAGAGGCTATCCGCACTGCCAAAGCTAACTCTCTCTCCTCTGCTCTTATCCTTCTAGACCTATCCGCTGCTTTTGATACTGTGAACCATCAGATCCTCCTCTCCACCCTCTCCGAGTTGGGCATCTCCGGCGCTGCTCACTCTTGGATTGCGTCCTACCTGACAGGTCGCTCCTACCAGGTGGCGTGGCGAGAATCTGTCTCCACACCACGTGCTCTCACCACTGGTGTCCCCCAGGGCTCAGTTCTAGGCCCTCTCCTATTCTCTCTATACACCAAGTCACTTGGCTCTGTCATATCCTCACATGGTCTCTCCTATCATTGCTACGCAGACGACACACAATTCATTTTCTCCTTTCCCCCTTCTGATAACCAGGTGGCGAATCGCATCTCTGCATGTCTGGCAGACATATCAGTGTGGATGTCGGATCACCACCTCAAGCTGAACCTCGGCAAGACGGAGCTGCTCTTCCTCCCTGGGAAAGACTGCCCGCTCCATGATCTTGCCATCACGGTTGACAACTCCATTGTGTCCTCCTCCCAGAGTGCAAAGAGCCTTGGCATGACCCTGGACAACACCCTGTCGTTCTCTGCTAACATCAAAGCGGTGACCCGATCCTGCAGGTTCATACTCTACAACATTCGCAGAGTACGACCCTACCTTACACAGAAAGCGGCACAGGTCCTAATCCAGGCACTTGTCATCTCCCGTCTGGATTACTGCAACTCGCTGTTGGCTGGGCTCCCTGTCTGTGCCATTAAACCCCTACAACTTATCCAGAACGCCGCAGCCCGTCTGGTGTTCGACCTTCCCAAGTTCTCTCATGTCACCCCGCTCCTCCGCACACTCCACTGGCTTCCAGTTGAGGCTCGCATCTACTACAAGACCATGGTGCTTGCCTACGGAGCTGTGAGGAGAACGGCACCTCCTTACCTTCAGGCTCTGATCAGACCCTACACCCAAACAAGGGCACTACGTTCATCCACCTCTGGCCTGCTAGCTCCCCTACCTCTACAGAAGCACAGTTCCCGCTCAGCCCAGTCAAAGCTATTTGCTGTTCTGGCTCCCCAATGGTGGAACAAGCTCCCCCACGACGCCAGGACAGCGGAGTCACTGACCACCTTCCGGAGACACTTGAAACCCTACCTCTTTAAGGAATACCTGGAATAGTATAAAGCAATCCTTCTACACCCCCCCCCCCCCTCCCCCACCCCCCCATAAAAAATAAAAATAAATAAAAGAAAAAAAGTGGTTGTCCCACTTGCTATCATAAGTTGAATGCACCAATTTGTAAGTCGCTCTGGATAAGAGCGTCTGCTAAATGATGTAAATGTAAATGTAATGAGGACCAGTCCCTGCCTTTAGACTGCTTTCATAGTCATGTCAGGGGAGAGACACCATGGTTGCCTTTTTATTGTTATCTCTGTAACAGCTGCATGCCATTGTCTTGCAGTACATGTATTGTAATGTTTGATTGCATTGCTTCAGTAATACTTGAATGGATCTATATTTTGGATAATTTCATACTGTCACCCTTTGAATGAATGTTCAAGTAGAGATATCAGCCATGTTGTACTATTTTATACTGATGAATATAGGCATTATGATTAGATTTGTCTGATTGCTTTATAAATGCTGTTGATGTATGTGATATGTGAGAAGTAACCTTTTGATAGTGCAGTGACTTTCTCCTTTATTATGAAAATACTGCCCTCTGACACCCTCCATGGTCCAATTTCTTTATCCCAATCATCAGCCAAAGCATGATTTGTCCAGTATGCAGAAATTATCAGACCAAAGTCACAGGTACAACAACACCTTATTTAAACAGCACAAGGTTTGACATGTAGTCTTTCCTAGTCTTTCCATTGACAATACTCAATCCCTAATAACCCCAAGCCTTAACCTTACCTATTATGAGGCAAACATCCAAACTGTGAATGATTAAGAGCACCAGCCGTGACACACACACAAACGCACGCTCACACACAAACGCACTCACACATGCACACACAGAGTAAAGAGCAGGCTGGTCGTCTGGTGGCCAAGTGGTGGCGTCGAGGCATCATCGGTCACTCTGAGCCCATCAGTGACACACCAAGGGCACGGTGGAATTAGTGGGATTCTCTGCTATGTGACAGCTTGCTCTGGCTAAATGGTATAATAATCTACACCCCCCCCTCCCCCCCTCCAAATTCAACCCCCGCCTCCGCACACACACACACACAAACAAACACACACATACACACATATTCACACATATATATACACACACACACACCCCTCCCATCACCAACTGGCACAGATAACATTGTCTTAAGCTATAAAAAATATTTCCCCCCATTGCATTGCAGTAATTATGGAATTAATGCAGATGAAGGGAGACATCTGCATGTTAAAGTGTTGGCCCCTCTCTTATGCATAGCAGATGTTCTCCTGTCATTTACTCCAATTACACTGCTGAGATACACGGCCACGGAGAGAGAGCGAGAGAGAGAGAGAGAGAGCGAGAGAGAGAGAGAGAGAGAGAGAGAGAGAGAGAGAGAGAGAGAGAGAGAGAGAGAGAGAGAGAGAGAGAGAGAGAGAGAGAGAGAGCATTGAGGGATGGGAATAAAGTCAATTCTAAAAGCGACATTATCTTACTTAGACAGCACGCCATCACAAAATCATTTTTTTCCTTTTTTAGCTTTATTTTACAGTCCTGGTATTTTACCTTGTAATTACATTATAATTACTGATGATTATCTTTTGGTGTCTTTCAGATCCGTTGCCTCAAGCATCACTACCAGATAGACACCAATTGATTTTTTTTTATTCTTTGAGTCTTTGAATGAATCAATGAAGGTGAATAGCAGCTGAAACTGGACTGTAAAGTAAAGTATTACCAACTTATTGACAATGCTGTAATGTTTGACTGGGTTGATTCATCCTAACTCCTGAATAATTGGATCTTACAGTGCATCATGCCAAAGTTCAAGCAGAGCTACCAGCAACCATACTGTATATTTATAGATATACCAGCAACCGTACTGTATATTTATAGCTATACCAGCAACCATACTGTATATTTATAGATATACCAGCAACCATACTGTATATTTATAGATATACCAGCAACCATACTGAATATTTATAGCTATACCAGTCTTCAGGGGTGGACTGGCCATCTGGCATTTTTGCCCATATAAATGGGCTGATCCATTTATATCCTACCGGGCCTGTCTGACTTGGGTTATTTGCGCAAAATGATCATTATCTGGCTAATAATGGGGGCCTCAATGAATAAAATGGTCTGGTGTGGGGGCCTCAGCGAAAAATCTGGGCTGTTGTAGGGGCCTCAAGGAAATAAATTGACCTGTGAATTAGAAATGCTGGAGCTGATTTCGGGTCCCGGTCCACCACGGCCAGTCTTGTTAGAGTAAAGCTATGGCCCAGTTGGCCTTTGAACCTCTAAAGCAGGGATCATCAACTGAATTTAGCCGCGGCCCGATTTGTTCTTGAGCGGATGGTCAGGGGGCCAGAACTTAAATACAAATAATTTGTAGACTGCAAATTGACAGCAAGAAGCCCAAACAGATATCATATTTGACTAAAACATAATCATTTCAAACCTTGCTTTCATTTGTATACGATCACATATACAGTACATGACCAAAAATATGTGGAGACCTGCTCATCGGACATCTCATTCCAAAATCATGGGCATTAACATGGAGTTGGT